TAGAGGTATTCTCTTTGTCCAATCTCACTTCCTGCTCCTCAAAGGTCTCCTCTTGTATGATCAGGAACACTAGAGAAGGAGGCTGGTGGGGACTGCCTGCTCTTCTCCTGGCGAGAAACAATAGGGGCCCTTGAGATAAACTGTCCAAGGCACCCAAAGGTGGCCATATCAGCCAGGTGGAGCATGACTCTCACAAGGATCGCCCAACTCCTTAGAGGTCTCAGGATAGAGATTTTCTTGATAATGGAAGGGAGAGTGCTGGACAGAAATGTGGGAGACTGAGGAAATGTCCCCATTGTCTTCCTCATCATCATCACTTAGTAGAGGTGGAGCAATTATAGAGAAAGGCAGAGACTCGGTTGGTACTGGGCAAATCTTCAGGGACTGAGAGGTGGGTCAGTACTGCAACTGGGTCGGTACCGAATAAGAGATTCAGGTGTTTCTGTTACTGCCAAGTCCTGAGGAAATTGAAACTCTTGAGGTACTGGAACAGTGGACGGTACTAATGAGACAAGCTGGGCAGAGGTAACTGTGGCAGAAGGTGCTGATGGTACTAAAGGTCTCATGCACTATGATGAATGATCAGTAGGTGTCGGTCTGGTCTTTTGCAGAGCCAAAGTGCTGCGTACTGAGGTCCTAGTAGACTCTGTTAGTACTGATTTAGAAGAGCTGGTCTTCTTCTCTGCACCAGTCCAGTCACCTGATGGTACTGATCTTTCAGAGCAGGAACCTTTAGAATCCTAGGCATGCTGGTGGTCACAGTAGCTGAGGAACCTGCAGCCTTGTGGGTACCAAGTCGGAGATCGGTAGTTGCCAAAGCAGGACTGCTTTCTGGAGTCTTTTTGAGAGAATTCCAGGGATTTCCTCTTTGATGCTCTAGGGGAGTGTTGCACCGAGGAGGTGGAAGCAGTCAACCTGTTTGGAGATTGTTTTATGGGGGGAGTACCCTGGTTGGAGTCAGAGGCTGATCAAAGCAAACTCTTCATCATGAGGAGATGTAGTTTAAGTTCCCAGTTCTTTCTGGCCCTCAACTTTAATTGCAGACAAAAATTACACTTTTGGGGAATGTGTGACTCCCCAAGGCAGTGAACTTACTGGGAGTGTCCATCACTGATTGGGATAGCCTCTCAGCATGAAAGGCAACATTTAAACCCAGGAGAACCGTGGACACCCTCCCAGGGTTTAAGCTCCCCTGACGGGGAGAAACAAAGAAAAATAGATGGAGGGACAATGGTCCTTATCCTAAAAGTATAAGTACAATCTTTTAAAGTTTTTTTAAATTATAAAATTACTACCGCTAACTAACACAAAGGAAACTTGAAGAACTAACACTAACTATTAAGAATGATAGAAAATTACAGTTAAGGTAAGCTCAACTCAGATGCTGCTGAAGCTCCGTCTCAGGCTGAGGCAGTTGAGAAGGAACTGAGAGTGGTTCACCTACGCAAATCTACATAATCTCGGTGGAGGGCACAAGGTTGTGGGGGGTCCATGCATGGGCCAAACAGACACTGCTACTTAAAATCTCTGATCTGACACACATGGAGCACAAGTGGACCTAGAATGGAACACCCATCGGGACACTACTCAAAGAAGAAGGAAGAACTTCTTCACACAATGCACAATCAACCTGAGGAACTCATTGCCAGGGGATATCGTGAAGAAGTTTCTCACCTTGTGACGTAACGATGGTTCTTCGAGATGTGTCCCCCTATGGCTGCTCCACTGTAGGCGTATCTATGCTAGGCACAGGGGTGCAGATACACCTACAGTGGAGCACACATAGGGACACTACTTGAAGAAGAATGCCAAAAGTATAACTGGGTTCTAAAAAAGAATTAAATAAGAAGGATAGGTCCATGAATGGCTATTCGTCAAGACGGTCTGGGATGCAACCCTATACTCTGTGAGAAATAACAGGATCCAAGATTTTAAAAAGTGACTTCTCTTTTATCCTCAATTAACAGGTGCCCAACTTGAGATACTTTAATGGAACCAGATTTTCCCAGGTGGGTGCTCAGTACTTTCTCAAAATCAGGCCCCATTAAGGTGTTTCAAGATGGGCACCCAAAAACTCAGGCACCTGAAATCACTAGTCACTTTTGTCCTAGTCATGGTTAGAAATGTGTGAGGAAGGAAGAGTATACATCTTGTTCATTCCTATGGCTATTGGGGTTTTTGTTTTTAATTATCTTATTAACACTATACATCCCTGCTCTGTAGGTGAGGACCTAAATGACTGGGCTATTGGCTGTTCTGGAGTGGGTTCTATTTCACTTCAGCCACCAGGCTATATAGTATTGTGCGGTGGGTCTCTCTCAATCTCTCTTTTTGAAGCTGCTCTACTTTGTCCACAATGCTTGCATAGTCATTGGGCCAGAAAAAAAGAGTAAGAAAGACTACAGCCCGATGGTTGGGGCACTCACCTTGGGTGAGGTGGAACACCTGGGTTCCAGTCCCTGCTTCAGTGTAGGGATTCAAACCCAGGTCTCCTACCTTCCAAGTGAGTGCCTTAGCTATGGGGCTATTACATAAAGAAGGGGGAAGGCAGCATCACCACCTCTTCCTCCTCTATTTTTGTGAATCTCCCCCTTCATTTCCTTTGCTTTTATTAAGAATACTCAAAATGAAACATTTTGTTTCAGATTAAAATGAAAGGTTTTGTTTGACCGGAAACAAAATTTTTCCAACTTTTTCGATTCACCAAAAATCCAGAAAAAAATTGGTTCAACCCAAACCAGTTGTTTTCCCCAATATTTTTGAATAATCAGCAAACTGAAAATTAGTTATTTGCACTTTCAGGACCTTAATTTTATACCTCATCCTCACTGTAACTCCTGGTAACACAACGCCTTCTGATACCATATTGCATTGATTCAGTGCTGGTTAAGAGGTAAGAGTTTCATCTACTGAATTACTACTACTACTTCCTGCTGCACTTATATAATAAATGATTATGGACAACGTTTGCAAATCTGAGTGCCTAATTCCATATTTGGGTACCTTAATAAAAGTGACTTATTTTCAAATATGTTGAGAACCTGCAGCTTCTACTGACTATGTTTGGACATCACTTCTGAAAACCATGCAGCTGAGCTACTGTACTATAAATGTTCTCCTTCATTCCAGGTTCTCTCATATTTCCAGATAATAACTTTATTATTATAAATATGGCCTGATTTTTTAATAGAAGGTTGAAAATATTTGCCAATATGATTTTCACATTGCATTAGTGAATTATGTACATATAGTTTTATAAGATAAAGACAAATACTCCAACAAAGTGCACAGCTAAAATACATGAGTTGTGTATTTAGGGAGATAAATATGCATGGATCTGAAGACTGCAACAGAATCCTTAGCCTCAAATCAGTAGTGGGCTTGGTTCTTTGGAGTGATCACTTCCCTGCTCCTCCACCCAAGATAGCATTATGCTTTCTCTGCTCTCCTCCCACATTGAGCTCTAGGGTTTAGAAGTAATTAGGAAAATCACAGATTCCTCTAGTACTGTACAAGGGCTTCAAAGGCCTGTTTAGGCTCTGTAGCTCAGAGTGTGCTGATAATGGAATCTGCCACTCCCAGATCACGTGTGTGCATGTATTGCATACCAGACCATTAACAAGTCTTCCCTTACAGAAGACACTCAGGATTCAGGCGGGTGATGGAGGATAATTACCCTCTGTGGCTAATCCACCCGAGTACTCAGTGTGGGAGTAAGCATTTTATCTGGCATCCTCCCAGAAGAGGTTGGGAGAGGACAAAAGACCCGGGCTGCACTCCGTAAAGGCAGAGGAGGGAGCAGGCTTGGAGTATCAGAAGCTAGGACTGCAAAGGAGTCTGGTCAGGTGGCTGCAGCTCCCAGCCCCAGAAAAGCAGGTGAGTCCCTCCTGACCCAGGCGGGGAGGGTGGGAAGGGAAAAGCAGCGAGCGACCGGGGGGGCGGGGGGAAGGAGTGGATTGTGGTGGAGCCTCAGGGGAGAGGCAGAGCAGGGGCAGGGCCTCAGGGGGAAGACATGGGGCAGGGGAGGTTCCTGCACTCCTGCTGGAGTGTCTGGGTTTTAAATATTACCAAGTTTGCAAACCTAGGAGGCCTGGATGTGAAGGCAAAAGAGCATCACTCCCTGGTGTGAGGGTTGATGCATGCATGCAATCAGACCCCAGAAAATGCCAGAGGAAAAGATGAACATTGGTCTTTCCACAGAAGACAACAGTTGGTAGGAATGATGGGGAGTTTTGAAGGAGGGCGAGTTGTCTCAGAGGCTTAGTGGAGCTCTTCAGATAATGTAGGTAGTGGAAATGGAAGGCTCCTCTGTGTGTTTTGACAATGCTGTGAACCTACGTGCAATTTGTTAATGCTTCGAGCTGGTTTTACTATGTATTTTTATACAGCATGTAGATTTGTAAACCTGAGCCTTGAGTTTGCATATTTTTAAATGTATTTCCCTCTTAATCCTAGAAGCAGGAGAATAATAATTTAGTATAATCAGAATAAGATGGGGAAACTTGGAAAGTGCAAAATACTTTATATAAAACCAAAACCAAAAATGTTTTTTGCCACTGGAAAAGGCAAAAAAAAACCAAGCAAAATTGTTTGGCAAAACCAAAACATGCCCAACCTCAGTTCATATCTTTAGTTTTAATACTCAAAGCAGCACATTAATTTTTGCAAAAATGTCACCTCAAAAACAAACAAGCACACAGTTCTTTCAATGTTTAAATAACAAACAATTTCAATCAGCTTTATTCTGTTTGCTTATTGGAGTACACTCATTTGCTAAAATGGTAAAAAAAAATTGCTGATTTAAAATACTTTTATATAGTGCTGATTTTCTATAACATATCACATAATTAAGTTAAAAATATTGCTGCTCAAGGGACCCTGAAGTGATGGGAATTCCAGACCCCTTGCAGTAGTAATGTTTTAATATTCACAAATATCAACCATTCTGAGTCTGCAAGCATATAAACACAACACAGCATCAAATATTTTAATGACATTACCTTGCTTGTGGCAAACCATAGCTGGTCCCCACTCCAACACGAGGTAAGCTGTACACAACTTTTTTTACTGTTGCTTGGTCAGGAAAATTAAACATAACCGAGGCTGTGATAAGAAGAAAAAACGTGACTTAAAACACCACAAAAGAACAGAACTCTGTTTCTTTACCAGATAATTCACAATATATTTTCAAAAGGCTTCTCAGAATTTATTTGGAAGGTTAATCCAGCTACACACTTATCTTCCTGTGAACCAAGGGTCTTTAAAACTTTCAGTATTCTCAAGCCTGGAGAATGGGTACTTCTGAAAATGTTCTGTGCTCTGAGTAACACAGTGTAAAGCTAATTATCTTCTTTGGCACTAATGTGTATCCCCATCTTGCAGGAAATATAGATTGTGTGTTGCAGGGGAAGGGTGGTATGTCACACATTCAAATCTCTCGTTAGGTTGTAGAGCCTTCCAATGGGTTGTATGGAATTTAGTCCAGTGACTAGTGCATTCAAAAACTGCCAGACCAGGGACTGGCTGACTACCTCCCCTCTTCAGTTGAAGGGCAGAACTTATATCACTACTCCCTCATGGTGACTAGACTGTTGACACACCTCACCAACCATCTGTTCCTGAGTCTGCTTCAAGGTAGCATTTACACCTTCAGGAAACTAATTGTTTGGGCCCATGCATACTGTTTGTTGAAGGGGAACTCCTGACATGATTCCAACACCTATTTTTAGGTTTGGCAGAATTCTATTTTTATTATTTTATAATTTCAACACATAATATCAATGTTAAATTTTAAGCTTTTTTCTATTTTTTTCTCCCTAAATTTTTACCATTGTGTAAAATTCATGCATTTTTTTAAAAAAATTATACATTTTAACTTTCACAAATGTGGTAAAGTATGGGGAGATCAGACAATTATTTAATGACAGAAGATGTTGAAATTCAAAAAGTTAAAGCTTTATAACCATTAAAATACAAATTATCAACATCACATGTCAAAACATACAAAGTAAACAGCCTTAAAATCAAAGTCTAATAAATTCTCAAGAAGCACTTTTCTTACTTTGCCTATCTGTAAATTTTGATCATCATCAACGGAAATATTTTTCATTAATGTGTGTGGGTCCAGTAAAATTGATGTTTACAAACTTTTATTGATAAAACTCTAATCCTTCCAAGCCTAGCTATGTTCAGCATGAAGGGAATTTTCCCCCTCAGAAGATTGGTGAGACAATGGTGTTTTAACACTTTGCAGTAGAGAGTCTAATAGGTGCTACTGATTATATTATGCTTTTGTGGTAAAATCATTGTATATGGTTGCTCTGTGTGCATTTGGGGATTGCATTCTGGAGACCCACTTAGTGGGAAAGATTCTTCTGGTTTGTCAAAATAGCAGGAGTCCACTGGAGGTATCGTATCCCAAACGTGAACACAGAGCTGGAAATGAGATAGCTATAGTATGCAGTGAGTATTGAAGTACAGTTGGACTTTACTATTGTGCACAGTTTAAAGCATCCCTAAGTCTGAGTTCAGTTCTTCACATGAGAAATGCGTTGGTTAGGGGATTTTGGTCTTTTTCCATTGGGTTGGATTCCAAGTTGGTTTCTGTCACTTTGGGAGATCAATATGTGCAATATCACAGAAGTGGTATGAAAAATGATTTACTTTCATATAAATTCTGAAACTCTACATCTTTATTTATTTCAATAAAGGTTGTGGGCCAATCAAGCTAACTAGACACTGTGTGGAGCAAACCTAGCCAAATAATTCAAAACAAACAATTATTTGACAAATGTCAACTCTTTTACTGTTTTTGAATTATTCATGAACAGAACTGCAAATATTTCCAATTTATTCATTATTCAAAATTATTCACTTTTTTCAACAAATAAATTCTAGCTCAGAAGATCTTTCCTTAACAGTTCATTGTGAATTGTCAACATTTGTGCTGTTATTGATAAGCTATGTAAATTACATGCTATTGTGTTCACTAAATAGGCAACTTGGACAAATAACAGTACAATTTTCAAATTGTATTTTAAAATATAAAATTTGAAAATTTCACTTTTGGCATATATCAGCCATTCAGGCTTAAAATTCCCTTTTTTGAGTATTTGCACTAGTAAAGCTATTGCACTAGAATATTTTCAGAAAATGAAAGCAAAGAGTATGAGGACATAGCAGAAGCAAATCTGTTTAAAGTTTTGAACAATAATGCATGTGTGACCAAGTGCATGGAGTGAACAGATGAGCCTGCACTCTGGTCACTCAGCTGTTAATTAGTTCCCCCTCCAGAGGAAGCTGACTGGGGTAATCAGACTGGCAGGTTGGGTGAGATAAACATTCAATTAGCCATCAGCCCAAGTCTCATAAAGAGGCACAGGAAGGAAATGCCAGGGAGGGGGAAAGAGAGAGAGGAACAGGGCTAGCTAAGCCCAGTCATATAAAAGCTTCATAAAAGGGAGACCTCTATTCCACCCATGTCCTGAGGACAGGGCCAAAAGCACTGCAGATATTGTAAATAGATTGTTGCATGGGGACTAAAGTGATATTGGTGGAGGGCACCTGAAATAAAAGGTCACTGAGTGCACACCTCGTGCAGTCTGTGCAGCTTCTGCTGGGACGAAGATAGGAGAGGAGCCATGCTCTGGTACAGTATGGAAAATAATAGCAGCATTTACCAGCTTCAGTGTGTAGTCTTTATTCATCAAAACTTGCTGTCAGAGTGCCAGATTAAAATCCATATTAATGGCCTATTGCCAAATATTTTCTATATCAAATGTAGTGAATAAATACAAGTGTGAGGGATTACTGAAGGAAAATAGCATTTTTCAAAACAAACTACAAAGTTTTAATTTGGGGATGAATGGATACCATCCATAAAAACTACCAGCAGATACCTTATACCAAATAAATGAACAACATAAAGACATACTTCTATTTGCCATAAACACTTCCAAAGCAGTGTTCTGGAGAAGATAACGTCTTGAAAAAACGGCTCGAATCTCGCTGAACATCCATTTTCCATGAAGGCCTTCTGTGTAGGCAAGAACCTAAAATAAATAAGGGAAAACAGACACTTGTTAGAAGATGTTTTGACAGTACCACAAGTTTTATGCTTCAACAAAGTCAGGGTAAGCTTATCTTGTTGAACTTTATGGCACTCAAAAACATTAAGTTCAAAGGTGGACTGAAATGTTTTTAAAAGATAAAGCCTGGTTATAGTCAGAGATGTGGCTGTAAACATGGCAACTTCATAATGTGTATATATGCTTCTCATGCGTCATATTAACTTATTTTACTTAGGCAAAAAATGTCCTGCAGTCAAGCACGGGAGAGTGAATAAAGTTCACTTGCAGATAAGCAAGTTATAGTCTATTTTGCAACATGCATGAGACAGAATTGCCTGTTAAGTTCTGAATCCACAGTTTTATTGTTGATGATGTGTTGTATAAAGTAAAGAAATAATATGACTTGACAGTCAAATCTCTAATTTGAGTTTACAGGGCTATGAGTTAGAAAAATCCATGAACCAATATATGAGAATAATTGAAGTGCAGATGTCATTGTTACAATAATTTTTCTAAGATTAACCACATTTTATTATTCAAAATCATTAACAAAATATGGTGACATGTATTTCTCTGTAATTTTAAACACAATATGAAGATATTTTAAAACATGAGCTGGAAAGTAGCACTGCTTTTCTAACTTGCCAAGTCCCAAATTTAAGGTTCTGTTTGCTGTAACACTTATTGACAAGATATCTAGACCATTTCACTTTTCTGTCATTCCTCAAACTGCTTGAAGTGATGTCTCTTCATATTAGTGCTTAGATATTAATGATGCATCTTCATATATACAAAGCTGCTTAGTTCAGTTTTAGAATATTCCGTTTATGTTCAGGTTACATATATTTTATTAGAATACCAGAAACTAACAGATTTTTGTTAAGCATTTTTTTTCTCCTCTTGCCATAATAAAAATGACCATCCATTTCAGAAGGAATAATAATAATTGTAAATCAGCTTCTGAAACAGTCTCAGATATTAGCTGTTTCTTAGAAGAAAGCTGGACAGGAAGAGCAGTGAACTATGATGTTCTTCATGGTCCGTGTAGGGTTGATTTGGAGACAAGACCAAGTGCTGATGGTACTGTTCTATTTTAGCTCAGCTGTGCACAATCCCTAACACTCAGATTCACAGAGAGTTGGAGCAGTGGCTTGTTGGGCTGACTTTGCTTGGCGTTTCCCTGGATGGATGCCAGGTGCTCCTTGCCCCTTCCAACCAATAACAGTCTTGCTTGGTGTCAAGTCCCGTGGTAAACTTCCAATGGTTAATTACATTCAGTGTCAAAAATCTGCATTGTATTTATACTTTGATCTTCACTGACTTCAACTTCCAGCTACTGGCTCGTCTAACTCCTTTGTCTGCTAGATTAAAGAGCCCTCTAGTATCAGATATTTCCTTCCTGTATAGGAGTTGTAGACTGATTAAGTTGTCTCTTAACCTTCTCTTTGATAAGCTCAATAGACTGTGCTCTCCTTTTGTCTTTCATTGAGATCAGATGCTAGGGTATACTTGACATCATGTATGTGGAAGCTAGGGTCACCAAGAACAATACACCTCAAAGATTCCAGCACCACACTCATTTTCATTTACTTGCATCTACCACCCTATAATATACAATTTTTGTTAAATATGTGTGTACTCAAGACTCTGGGAAGAGATAAGGAGGCAAATCTTTGGATTTAAAAAGCTAAAAGTAGCTAATGGACAGTAGCTATTATAACTGGAATATTTTTTTATCGGATGTGTAAAATGTGTAGAGTTGTAATGAGGGCCCCGTATATGCCGCAGCTAGTGGCTTTGCCACAGAACTCATCCCTTAACACAAAATTGTGCTCCAGCACTTCAGCTTTCACTAAAAAAAAAAAAAAAAAAAAAAAAATTCTAGCCCTCACGTGAGACTTGTGGTGGGGCAGAGTTAGGAAAAATATTTTATTTACTGATATTACTGGTCATTTAAAATAAAATATTTCAGTTCCAGTGTCTTGGCATATATAAATATTCAAAATATTACAATATTTTGTACAATATCAACAATATTTATCAGCATATTATATATTGACCATACCTTGATATAGCATTACTCCTTTTTTTCTTCTTCAAATTATTCAAACACAACCACACAACTATAACCTGATATACATATATTTAACCATTCCTATTAACTTTTTTTATTGGGAAGCTGAATGTTCTCTTGGGGCAAAGGTGTTGAGTGTCAGGAGACAGAAAGCATGGGAAATTAGAGGAAAGCAGGATGTATTCAATTATTGTCCTCTATTTCCTTCCTATCTATTGTTGTTATAAACATAAGATTATTGTGTCCATATCAGAGCATCTCAATTATTTAATAGACAAAATCCCACCATACATGTCATCAGTCCTATTCGAGTTCTAGCTCAAGCATTTTATTTCTTTCTTTCAGGATGGACTTCCAAAGCATTTTTACCATCTAGCATTCCGATATCATGTGTAGGAAACAGGTCCTGGCTGTTTTGCATTTCATACAAATAGCTGGGGCAATATTGTATTTTTTTATCTAGAGATGGAGAAGAATAGTACCAGATAGTACTGAACGTGTACTTTCTGGCTAGTGCTGGATCCACTACTTACTCTCTGCATTATATCATTCCAGCCATTCTTTTGTTATTTCACATTTACAGTCTGCAATCCATAACTTAACAGTTTCATGCAGTTTGTCTCCTAAAAACAGAGTCATGAAGTTGGAGAGACAAGCTGGGTGAGGTAATATCTTTTATTGGATCGACTTCTGTTGGTGAGAGAGACAAGCTTTCTTGTGTCACAGAGCGCTTGTCTCTCTCACCAACAGAAGTCGGTCCAATAAAAGATATTACCTAATCCACCTTGTCTCTCCAATATCCTGGGACCAAAACTACTACTACAACACTGCACAGTTATGAAGTTGTATGTTCTACAGAGACATGTTGATTACTGAAACTTCAAGCCCTTGTATGAAATTTTCAAATGAAGAATACTTTGTTCCTTTCTTTTCTGAAAATGTTTTTAATAAGGTAAACAATCAGTATAAACTCATTGTGCTTTTTTTTTAATATCACTTACATCAATTTGTTTTAAGGATAGTCCATTCCTGAAGAAATCATAGACTCATAGCCTATAAGGTCAGAAGAGACCATCATGATTATCTAGTCTGACGTCCTGCACATTGCCACAGGAGGCAACAGAACCTCACCCACCCACTCCTGTAATAGTATCCAAACCTCTGGCTGAGTTACCGAAATCCTCAAATCATGATTTAAAGACTTCAAGTTACAGAGGATCCACCTTTTACAGTAGTTTAAACCTGCAAATGACCTATGCTCCATGCTGCAGAGGAAGGCCAAAAAACCCCAGGGTGACCCAGGGGAAGATTTCTTCCTGACCCCAAATATGGCAGTTAGCCCCTGAGCATGTGGATAAGACCCACCAGCCAAACACCTGGGAAAGAATTGTCTATAATAACTCAGAGCCCTCCATATCTAGTATCTCATTTTTCCTTCAATTTATGTGATATTTGTCTCAATATTAAAATAATTCCTTATGTAGACCATGCTTGAAAGCACAATTTTTTTTATTTCTGATATTACTGAGATCTGCTCTTTTTATCTGGTCAAGTGCCTCACACATGCTTAGGTTTGGAAAGGTTAGATTTTTATCATTGTATCGATTTCACTGTACACACAAACTGACAAAAATTATTTACATCAATAATAATTGAAATTTACAGACAGGCAAAATAGAAAAATGCTGCTTGAGAACTCACTAGTTTCATTTAAGAGTATTTACTTTGTATATTTTGACATGTGATGTCGAAAATTTGTGTTTTAATGGTTATAAAGCTTTATCTTTTTGACTCTCAATGTCTGTTGTCATTAAATAATTGTCAGATCGTCCCCTAATAATTTCCTACAATTGTGTAAATTTAAACCAATAAAAAGACAAAAAAAGACTTAAAATAAACTTCAATATTATCTACAGAAATTAATTTAAAAAATAAAATACTGCCAACCCTACATACGCTCAACTACTATGTATATTTTAAAATAATAGGCATTGTCTTATGGGTGCTGGAATTTTGAACTATGTAACAGAATTATATAATGAGATTGTTTGTCAGTTTCAGTTCTTACCCCCAATGGTTTCTCCTGATTAGAGGTCCATTCTAGTTCTGCCCTGATTTATGCTGCTCATAGTATCTCTTGAAATTTGGTAACACCAGGCCTCCTATCTCAGTTGGACATCCCAATAATTCCATTTTGATTCATGGTTTCTGTTATAACCACCAAAATCTCTGAATAATTTTTAATTTTGTGGTAAAATATTGTTTTCAGTCTGTGAAGGGAATCATGGAAAATGTATACAGGACCATGGGTAGGACATTCATTTTAAGTACTTTAATTCTATCAATCAGTGTCATTGGTAATCATGTTCCCTTGCCTAGGTCATAGTAAATAATTTTCATTAATGGCTCAATATTTAGTTTAAACAGCTCCACCACTTTAAGTGATACATTAATGCCTAAATATCTAATTTATTACCCACTATTTTCAGTGGACATTCTTCATTTTTTATGTATCTTTTGCAAAGGCACAGTATCTCTGATTTAGAATAGTTTAGTCTGTTCCATTGATTCCTGACCAAACATGTCAATTATTTCTAGTAATATTGGAAATTTATAACTTATATGAAAAGCATAAGATTGTCAGCATATAATGCAACTTTGTTTTCTATTCCCAATACACTTATTACCTGAATTTCTTCAGTATCCCTGAACTTTTGTGCTAATGGTTCGATAATTAAGTGAAATAAGGTTGATCAGCGATAATCCTTGTCTTGTTCCCCTGCGTAATGGTGTCAGCTCAATCTTTGTAATACTTCCCCAGATACATGACAGAGGGTTTTTATAGACTATTTTAATGCACTCCTGAAAGTACAAAACATTTCTCTAACATTCTGAATAAAAATGGACA